ACCCGTCAGGGCTGGGGGCACCCCAAAAACCCGTCAGGGCTGGGGGCACCCCAAAACCTCCCAAAGAACCCGTCAGGGCTGGGGGCACCCCAAAAGCAGGCCAGGACTCCCCCAGTGCTCAGATCCGCCTCCAGTTCCCCCAGTGCTCCCCAGTCCCAGTTCTCCAGTCCCAGTCCCAGTCCCCAGTCCCAGTTTCCAGTCCCAGTTCCCCAGTCCCAGTTCCCAGTCCCAGTTTCCAGTCCCAGTCCCACTCCCAGTCCCCAGTCCCAGTCCCCAGTCCCAGTCCCAGTCCCACCAGTCCCCAATCCCAGTTCCCACTCCCAGTCCCCAGTCCCCACTCCCAGTTCCCAGTCCCACTTCCAGTCCCACTCCCAGTCCCCAGTCCCAGTTCCAGTTCCCCAGTCCCAGTCCCAGTCCCACCAGTAGAGCGTGGCGGGGTTGGTCCCAGTCCCACTCCCACTCCCAGTCCCAGTCCCAGTTCCCCACTCCCAGTCCGCAATCCCAGTTCCCAGTCCCACTCCCAGTTCCCAGTTTCCCAGTCCCAGTCCCACCAGTAGAGCGTGGCAGGGTCGGTCCCACTCCCAGTTCCCCACTCCCAGCCCCAGTTCCCAGTCCCAGTTTCCAGTCCCAGTCCCACTCCCAGTCCCAGTTCCCAGCCCCAGTCCCCAGTCCCAGTCCCAGTTCCCCAGTCCCAGCCCCAGTTCCCAGCCCCAGTTCCCAGTCCCACTCCCAGTCCCCCAGTCCCAGTGCCACCAGTAGAGCGTGGCGGGGTCGGTCCCAGTTCCCCAGTCCCAGTTTCCCCAGTCCCAGTCCCACTCCCCCAGTCCCAGTCCCAGTTTCCCCAGTCCCAGTCCCAGTCCCAGTGGCACCAGTAGAGCGTGGCGGGGTCGGTCCCAGTTCCCCAGTCCCAGTTCCCCAGTCCCAGTCCCAGCCCCAGTTCCCAGTCCCACTCCCAATCCCAGTTTCCCAGTCCCAGTGGCACCAGTAGAGCGTGGCGGGGTCGGTCCCAGTTCCCCAGTCCCAGTCCCAGTTCCCAGTCCCAGTCCCAGTTCCCCAGTCCCAGTTCCCCAGTCCCAGTTCCCCAGTCCCAGTCCCAGTTCCCCAGTCCCAGTTCCCCATTCCCAGTTCCCCAGTCCCAGTTCCCCAGTCCCAGTGCCACCAGTAGAGCGTGGCGGGGTCGGTCCCAGTCCCAGTTCCCCATTCCCAGTTCCCCAGTCCCAGTCCCAGCCCCAGTGGCACCAGTAGAGCGTGGCGGGGTCGGTCCCAGTTCCCCAGTCCCAGTCCCAGTTCCCCATTCCCAGTTCCCCATTCCCAGTTCCCCAGTCCCAGTTCCCCAGCCCCAGTGGCACCAGTAGAGCGTGGCGGGGTCGGTCCCAGTTCCCCAGTCCCAGTCCCAGTTCCCCAGTCCCAGTCCCAGTTCCCCAGTCCCAGTCCCAGTTCCCAGTTCCCCAGTCCCAGTCCCAGTCCCAGTGGCACCAGTAGAGCGTGGCGGGGTCGGTCCCAGTTCCCCAGTCCCAGTCCCAGTTCCCCAGTCCCAGTTCCCCACTCCCAGTTCCCAGTCCCACTCCCAGTCCCAGTCCCAGTGGCACCAGTAGAGCGTGGCGGGGTTGGTCCCAGCCCCAGTTCCCCAGTCCCAGTTCCCCAGTCCCAGTCCCAGTCCCAGTGGCACCAGTAGAGCGTGGCGGGGTCGGTGCCGCGGCGCAGCTCCAGCAGCCGCGCGCGGCTCTGGGTGCAGAAGAGGCGGATCAGGGTCCCGCGGCGCGAGGCCGACGCCAGCAGCGTCCCGGGCGCGCTCAGCGCCGCGCAGCCCACCTCGCTCTGGTGCGCGCTGATGGCCACGGGCGCCGACGAGGAGCCGGGCTGCGCCGCGCCCAGGTCCTGCGGGGCACCGGTTAGACCAGTATGGACCAGTATGGACCAGTACGGACCAGTATTAACCAATATAGATCAGTATAAACCAGTATAGATCAGTATAGACCAGTATAGATCAGTATAGACCAGTATGGACCAGTATGGTCCATGGCGCCGACGAGGAGCCGGGCTGCGCCGCGCCCAGGTCCTGCGGGGGACCAGTATAGACCAGTATGGACCAGTACGGACCAGTGTAAATCAATATAGACCAGTATAAACCAATATAGATCAGTATAAACCAGTATGGACCAGTACGGACCAGTACAGACCAGTGTAAATCAATATAGACCAGTATAAACCAATATAGATCAGTATAAACCAGTATGGACCAGTACGGACTGGTGTGTACCAGTGCCAAGGAGGAGCCGGGCTGCGCCACGCCCAGGTCCTGCAGGGGACCAGTATGGACCAGTGTAAACCAGTACGGACTGGTATGGACCAGTACAGACCAGTATAAACCAATATAGATCAGTATAGACCAGTATGGACCAGTATGGTCCATGGCGCCGACGAGGAGCCGGGCTGTGCCGCGCCCAGGTCCTGGGAACCAGTATGGACCAGTGTAAATCAATATAGACCAGTATAAACCAATATAAACCAGTGTAAACCAGTATGGACCAGTGTGGACCAGTGTAAACCAGTACGGGCCAGTATAAGCCAGTACGGGCCAGTATGGACCTGTACAGACCAGTACATTCCCAGTTCCCTCCCAGTGCTCCCAGTTTGGCTCCCAGTTTGCTCCCAGTGCTCCCAGTTTGCTCCCAGTGCTCCCAGTTCCCTCCCAGTGCTCCCAGTTCCCTCCCAGTGCTCCCAGTTTGGCTCACCACCAGCTGCAGGCTGCCGCATTTGTGCCCCGGGAACACCAGCAGGGCTCGTTCCAAACTGGGACAGAGATCCACGATCCCTGCGGAGGGGCGCCCAAAACCACCCAAAATCAGCCCAAATCACCCCAAAATCACCCCAAAAACACCCAAAATCAGCCCAAATCACCCNCCCAGTCCCAGTCCCAGTCCCAATCCCAGTCCCAGTCCCAGTCCCAGTCCCAGTCCCAGGTCAGTCCCAATCCCAGTCCCAGTCCCAGTCCCAGTCCCAGTCCCAGTCCCAGTCCCAGTCCCAGTCCCAGTCCCAGGTCAGTCCCAGTCCCAGTCCCAGCCCTGCCAGCTGTGGCTCCCATCCCACACTTTTTTCTGATAACACATTGATTTAAAACCAGCAGAATTATCTCCGTTACCAAAATAAAGCAGTTCCTGGAAGGGATGACTCAGAAGCCTCTCCCCTCGCCATAAATCAGAGCAGAAACATGATACCTCATTGGGGCAAATCACTTTGCCCTTTTGGTTTGGCACCTACAGCCTTTTCCACTAGAAAAAAGGAGATTAGAAATCCACTCGGAGCCGGCACTTTGTCAGAGAGCTCAGCCTTTCCTCCCCGGGACGCCACGGCTCAGGGCTTCGCCTGTGTTATCACTGGAGGGGCTGGACAAAGATAAGCAAAGCAGGATGGATATTAAAAAAATAATTTTTGTAAAAACATACAGAAACAGCCCTGGAGGTTTTCGTGCTGTCTCCGAGAAGCCGGCGCGAGGAATTTGCCCCAAAGGAGGTATGTGCAGCATGTGCCAGCAAGGCAGAGCAGTGGCAGAGCAGCTCCTCCAACCCTCCACGGGCCCCAGAGATAGGTATCTCTGCAGAGACAGCCCGTGTCCTCTCCGAGCGCTGCTCAGGGACCGCACGGAGGGCTGAGCCTCCCTGCCATCCTCCTGCTGGCTGACAAACCTCACCCAGCCCGCTCCGGGGCCCCACCGCTCGCAGACCCGCGCACTCAGGGGCTTTGTGGGCAGGGGAACAGCTGTGGGACCAAAGGGTCCCAGCCCGCCTGCCGTGCCCACCGGACTCACCCCTGCTCTGCCAGGCTCGGGGGGCCACAGCCGGACCGCAGAGACCCCCGGCCAGAGGGATGCTCCACCGAGCTCACGGGGCTGCTGGGCTGTGAGCACCCCGGGCTTGCTCTGGGGTCCCGTGTGGTGGAAAAGGCTCTCCTCCAACCGTGCTTCCAGAGAAAAACTCCACAGGCTCTGTTGTTGGGTCTCAAGGCAGTTTATTGCGAGTTATCAAAAAGATTTTCTCCTTGAGCTGCTGTGGTTTGCTCCCAGCTCAGGCAAAGGCACACACACACCCTGACATCCTCTCTGCTGTCTTCTTCTCTCCCCACCCAGGGCTGCTGCTCTCTTTTATATGATATATTACGTATTACATGTTTACAGTTTTCCCCAATACCTATTACCTATGTTACAAGATGCTTTTCTACTCTAAATCAATCCATAAGTGCCAACATCACCAAGAACATGGAGGCAAGGAAGAAGGAGGAAGAACAGGGTCAGCCCACTTTCCTCCATCCTAGAACTTCTGATCCCTATGTACAAAGTAAAAACCCCCCTGGACAGGTGCTAAAACCCCCCTGTACAATACTAAAAAAATTTCCCTCTGTTTTGTAATTACTTTTACTATACTATCTAACCCTTTGTGACTGTTTCACCTCCAAAGTTGGTAATTAATTCCATGGCTCAAACTCAAAATCACAGCTGTTTGCAGCTGTCTGCCAGGGTCTAGAATGCTTCTGACCAAGGCCTGGAACCTCTAAAAATGTCTGAGGGACATTTTGAGCTCCAACACTGGGCCATGGAAATGGCCAGCTGGGTCTGGGCCAGCAGTGCCCCAGAGCCAGGAGGGACAGCCCTGTCCTGGGCGCATCAGGGACACCAGTGAGGTGCCACTGGTCAGCACTGGGGCTGCACAGTGTGAGAAAGATCTGCCCAAAGGAGGGACACAGGGATGGGGAAGGGTCTGGAGGGGCCACGTGAGGGCACCTGGCCCATCTGGGTGGAGGAGACTGAGGGGAGAGCTCGCTGCAGTTACGGGTTCCTTGTGAGGGGCAGACACTGATCTTCCTTCAGGGGTGACTGGGACAGCACCCAGGGAAGGGCTGGAGCTGTGCCAGGGAGGTTTGGGTGGGATATCAGGGAAAGGCTCTTCCCCAGAGGGTGCTGGCACTGCCCAGGCTCCCCAGGGAATGAGCACTGCCAGAGCTCCAGGAGCCTTTGGACAGC